TAACATATTGTGTTGTATAGCATAGACACTTAACATTTCCTTCATGGCAGGAAGTCCTACTGAAGAGAGCCAGAGAGAAGGATGTACCATCAATACCCCACTCGCTACACTACTGCTTTCCAGCCAGGACTATGACTCTATCAGTTGATTCCCCAAGGAAGAAAGCTTCTATCGGATTCCAAGCAGGGGAAGATATGTTAACACAATTCTCCATAGCATTTCTGCACCTCTCCAACCATCTTTAGTTTCAAGCTACCTTTCCAAGGAAGAGATAACATCTTCTTGTGGTATAGAAGGATGATCTGCCTCCTGATGGAGATAACCAAGATTAAAGTCTCCCTTCCAGTAAAAGGTTGGGCAGGTATGCAAGCAGCCCTCCTGTAAGATGGAATTTCCTGGTAAATTAAACACAGGGCTCCTGAGCTGTAACACAAACCCACTGTGTGCCCAGCATTGCCTGGACTCATCACCCCCTGGTGTGTGGGGGGCAAAGGCACCAATGTGCATAAGAAGATCAAGGAGCCTGCCATGTTCTGTCTCTGCTTGGGAGCCATGTGCTCTGCAAGCACATGTGACACTCCTTCAGGCCAAGTTGCTAGCTTTAAAGAACGTAAAATCCAAGCCCCCACAGGTCCTGATGGTTACACCACCAACACCTGGCTTCTTGGAGTGTATTCTTCATGCCCCTAATGCTGCAGAACCATCAGTCAAAAGTGACTGCTAGTCCACTGGAGTTACTGTCCCAACTGTGATGGAAACGAGAAAACTGGTGTCTAAAGCATGGGGGAGGGGGGACTATGACCAGGCATCTCCTACAACTCTCATGCATAGCAGCAAAACAGAAGATTCAAAGAGGGGCCACTGCCGGCTCCAACTCTTCACGGCAGTCAGGAGAAGCCATCACCACACTGAGCCACTGACAGAGCACTGAGGAAGCAGGACCTGACTGGCAGAAGGAGGAAGTCATTACAGCAACTAGGACCAGGGGACCAGGTGCAAATAGGAGCACTATGTCTACATGCGTCCTTCTTCCTTGCTTTCCCCTCCCCTCTCTTCCAACGCTTTTACATTTTACACAGGTCAGTCTGTGGTAGCTAAAGTACAGGCTCTTAAAGGAGAGTTAAAGGAAGACAGTGAACACACTCTCTGATAGGAGGAATAACTGAAATGGGCTGGGCAAAAGCAGAGGCAAATGTGCTGTTGATTGGGAAACGTAAATACAGGTAGAGTCCAAAAAGGCAGACTGGATACTGCCTGTCAGCAGTCAGTCTCATGCCTGCCATTCAAAGCAAGAGAAACAAGCCCAAAGGCTGTGATTTCTCAGATTCCCTTCCAAAAGGTTCTAATCCAAACCAATGAGAGATACCTATGCAAGATTTGGGAAACAAAAAATGAGAAGCGATTTCTCCCTGGCAAGAAGACACAGACAAGAAGACACAGGGGCAAAGGGCAAAGACTGGGCTCACACCTGTCCATGCAGGCTGCTGGGTCCCCTGCATTTCAACAGTTCCCACAACTCACATCACTCAGGCAGAGTCCTGTGAGTACAAGACTGTGGGTTCCCTCCAACTCAGACGCATTCGCCCTGACCCTCCCTACCCCAGGCTTTTCTATGGTTTGGGAAGAATTTACTAAATTCCCCTATTAAATCTGTCTGGCTCTGCTGTCTTCACTGACGCAGAGTAGGATTTGGTCAGATGAAGTTTAGAGTGGGAAAGACAAAAGCAAACTTGGGGGTGGACCTTCATGAGCAACAGAGAAGAAACCCCACACTCACACGAGAGAAAATAAAGAAGAAAGAACAGCTACAGCACAGGATAGAGGAATGTGAAGGCAAGGAATCAAAGCTCACAGGAGCTCAGAACTACACTAAGTAAGGTGTCCTTGGGATCAGGGCTTTATTCTATTAACTCACCCAACTGATATCTACTAAGCAATTACTACATTACGGCACTCCATTCTTAGTATCAGAAACAAAAGCAAATGCTCTTGCGCTGGGGAAAAAGAGAAAAGACACAATGAACAAAGATGGCAATGAGTGCTAGAGTGGAATTCTGAGCTTTTGGGAATAAAGTACTATTTTAGATAAGTTGGTCAAGGGAGTGGCTGTCTGAGCACTCTGTAAAAATACACAGGGAGGCCAGAAAGCCAGGAGTCTGGGCCTGGTGTATGATGGGAAAATAGGAGAGCAAGGCACACAGACCTTGGAGAGCACAGTGAGGACTTGGGCTTCTGGTAAGTCAGGGGAGCCCTGGAGGTTCTGAGCAATTGAAGGACAGGATATCTGACTGCCCTGTAGGACAGACAGTGCAGGATGATAGAAGTAGAACCAGAGAGAACAGCTAGAAGAACACTGAAATCATAAAGAATAAGTGACCACTGGTGAGAAGGACCAGTGTATAATTGGTGAAAAGTAGTTGGATTCTGAAGATGTGTGTGTGTGTTATTTTGTTGTTTCCAGTGCTGGGAATGGAACCCAGGGCCTCAAGCATGCTAGGCAAGTGCTCTCTCTACCTGTACACCTATCCTTTGAATTCTTGATTTATTTTAAAGGGAGTATTTGCTCAAGGAATATCTAGACATTTTAAAAAAAAAAGGGGGGGGGTGGACAATGACTCCAGGTTGTTTGCCTAAACAACTGAAAGGGCAGAATAACCATTAACTGATGAGTGAGGACAAGGGGCAGATGTGGGAAAGGAATTAGCAATTGAGTTTAGGAAGTCTGAAACTCCTATTACAAATCCAAAGCGTTCAGTGAGAAGCCATAGGGAAGCTGGGATGTGGCTCTGTGGTGGATCACTTGCCTAGTGAGACCCTGAGACCCTGGGTTCCATCCCCAATACTGGAAAAAAAAAAGATGGGAACCACTAAGCCACTATGTACTTCCAAGAAGGGGGTGGCAAGGCAGGAACTATGATTCAAAGTTAATCAGGCTAATGCCAAGATAAATTGGGTGCAGGAGTCTCAACAGTGAACGTTGTCTTTAAAATGATTCCCATTTTATATATTTAATCACTGTTATAAAACAACAATGAAAATCTATCTTGCAGAAATTATATGTTCAAGTTGTTTAAGAGCTGGATGCTGAAAAAAAAGAGCTGGATGCTGGTAGCTCACTCACACCTGTAATCTTAGCTATTTGGGAGGCTGAGATCAGGAGGATCATAGTTCAAGGCCAACCTAAGCAAATGGTTCCAGAGAACACCATCTCCAAAATAACCAGAGCAAAAAGGACTGGAGGTATGGCTCAAGTGGTAGAGTGCCTGCTTTGCAAGTGTGAAGCCCTGAGTTCAAACCCCCAGCCCACTAAAAAAAAAAAAAAAATTGTTTATTTTTAGAGTTGCCTGTCATTTTAAAATTTTACTCAGAAACTGTTCCCAGCCACTCTTCCACTTCTGTTTCTTGATCTTCACAGGCTTGCTGCCAATTAGAGACAGAACGTGGTCTCAGTGAGACGTGGGATTTCAGGATGAGATCTGTTTTCTGTGACATTCCATCACACCCTCCCCAATCACAGCAAGGAAATGGTTCCAACTACACGACAGAAATGAGACTTGGCTCATTTGCAAGTACATCCTACTTTCTCATTTCCTCACTGTGATACAATTACTGGCTTATTAGCTGTGCTGTCTCTTATCATATATAAATAAGACTGGCTTTTATTACTTCTTATATAGGCAACTTCTAATCTTTTTTACTTCTCTTAAATTTAAACTTTTCCATTGAAAGTACATGTGCAAGGCCCTAAATTCCATCCTCAGCACTGCAAAAAATACAAGAGGAAAAAGCAGCAGCTCTGGATAAAAACAGCAGATGGAAGCAGGTGACGGCTTTGTTATGCCTTCTCACGTACCAGCGTCACAGCATTTTGTAATAGAAACACATGATATTTAATATGAAGTACTTCCTCCTTATATTATAGCTTGAGCAAAGCACCCATTTTTGAATTATGTGTGTGATGTACTATCTGCAAACTGAATTGAGTGAGAATAAAAGTTATGTTACAAAACAGTGGCTACAAACACAGCATTGAGTCTGATGACTAAAAATCACTGGATGTGGGGGCGGGGGGGATGGGGGGAGAAATGACCCAAACATTGTATGCATATATGAATAAAAGAAAAAAAATCACTGGATGGGAAAAAAGAAAGTTTGGGTATGAAATGTGTTAAAATGAATCAATTAATTAACAGGACCAAGCACACTGTCACCTCGAGCAGATGAGGAACAAAAGGCACCAGAGGTGTGATCTGGGGAGTATTCGTGCCCATGAGGAGGAAGGCAGAGGAAAAAACAGTTTCTCCAATAGCCACAAATAACAGCAACAGGCCTGCAGAGCAAGCAGACAGCACTGAAAGGATGCAACAGAGAAATGTGGACATGTTTGACAGTCTGCAAATGATGGGCTAAGAACAGGCCCTCCATCAGGGAGGGCATAGGGGGTGGGGGCGGAGGGGTTAAGGAACCAAGCAATGGGCAGATGTGGAAGAGGGTGGGTGACGTGGGCATCCCAGGGGCAAGATGAAGAAGCTGGATCTGAGGGATATTTCCTGCCAAGTCCAAGAGGGCACAACAGAGAAGGTTGGTACAAGGAGAGGCAGGAGTCACCCAGGAAGGGACACACAGAAATGGAATAAAAGACAGTCACAGCAGGAAGTAGCATCAAAACTTTTAAGGACAGGAATAAAAGATGTAAAAAGTGTTGAGTGTAACTAGAGAAGAAGCGTGTTTCACTTACCGCAGGGCGCTGGTGGCTCACCCACCCCTATAATCCTAGCTACTTGGGAAGCTGAGATTGGGAGGATCACGGTTCAAGGACAGCCAGGGCAAATAGTTCACAAAGCCCTGTCCCCAAATAACCAGAGCAAAATGGACTGGAGGTGTGGCGCAAGTGATAGAGTGCCTGCTTTGCAAGCATGAAGCCCTGAGTTCAAATCCCAGTCTCAACAACAACAACAAAATCAAATAGAAATAATATTTGAATAAAAATAAATAAATACCTTGGTCCACCTGCAAAGCTTCACCCCAGAGTGGCTCCCAATTAGCTGATAACCTGAATAGAAAAGTAGAGAACACAAAATTGCACTAATCCAAAGGCTTATATCAGAAGGTGATATTAAAATTTAGCAAAATAATTTTCCTCTGCTTAAAAATTATGGCAATCAGGTCAGGTGCAATGGCTCACACCTGCATTCCTACCCACTTGGAAGGTAGCGATCAGGAGGATCGAGGTTCTAGGCCAGCCTGGGTAACAGTGAGACCCCCATCTCAACCAATAAAAGCTGGGCCTGTCATTTCGTTTACACGGGAAGCATAAATAGGAGGAATGAAGTCCAGGTTGGCCTAGGCATAAATATGAGACCCTATTCTAAAAATAGCTAAAGCACTAAGAGCTGGAGGTTTGGCTCAAGTGATAGAGCACCTGCCTGGCAAGTGCAAGGCCAAGTTCAAACTCCAGTACCGCCCAAAACAAACAACAACAAAAATACACAAACATATATGGCAATCAACAATCCTGTAGCAGAAATCATCACAGCAATTTACCAGAGCAAGAAGACAATTGAAAATGTACATGCATCTAATGAAAGAGATGGAAAAGAAACAATGAAACTCATCCAAAGTCACACGGGGAGGTTTTAGCCTCTCAGCACCTAACAATCTCAGAGGTCAAAACACAATAAACAAACTTGACCAAGACCCCAAATACAGCACTGCACTCAACAGATACACAGTATGTTCTCGTCAAGAATCAGTGGAATTATAAAAATGACCCATGTCTTGGACCATAAGGCAACAGTAGCAATATATTTCAAATGAATAACCAGAGAACTGTCATCAGTAATCTTTGGAAATAAAAAATAAAAAAAAAATGAAGAGTTAGGTTGCCAACAAAAGGTTAAAAACAAAGAAATGTTGACCCAAAAAGGAAGGGAATCAAATTCTAGGGCCCAACACCTGAGTGAGAATTCCCAGTGTCACTCCACTCCGGATGATTTAGAAATCGTGAGCCAGCTAACACGAAATGCATGGCAACAGCCGCACCGGCATGCCCTCGTCGCCTTTAAAACAGCTAGAAGTACAAGATTTCAGAGAGCATTCCAGAAAGTTGCTCAGGAAGCCTCAAGCATCACAATTATCAGTCTCTTGCAGACAAGTGAGGGAGGTGGAGAAATAATGTAGCCAGTGGCGGAAGATGTTCACCGGCTGCTTAAGCAAGCACTTTTTTCACAGGGCGATGATTAATGGTGCAGAGTCAATGTGGATTACAAGACTCTAGTGGCAACAGTTACAGGGCTTGGACTCTCATCCTCTTCCACATTTATGTAAACATCTTGCATAAAAATAAACAAAGCATGGCTTATCTACTTGAAGATGGAAATGAGTGCAGCTCAATAGCTCATCTCTGATGCACAAAGCACACTAACATTACCAGAGAAAATTCTAGGTCTTGTCTTGAATTTCTGTATTATGCCATTGATATCACTAACACAGAAATTATATTCCATTATATTAGTTCATTAAATCTCTCTCCCGAGATCATAGGGCTCTATAAAATTCAGTAGTTATGAAAAACACAGCACACTGGGCGTGGTGGCCCATGCCCGTGAATCCCAGTCACTCGGGAGGCACAGGGAGGAAGGTCGTTTGTCTGTGCCAGCTCCAGTGCTTTTGTCAAAATAGTGAGGAACAACTGATCCTGGAAGCTGGCTATATTCTCACCTAACACGTCATAAAAATTAGTCTCAAAGCTCCAATTATTTCCACATAGGCTACATTTGCCCCAGAAAAAATAGCTAAAAGTATTTAGAGGAGAGCTTATATAAAAATATTCAGCAACTAATAAGGTAAAGGTCTGGCATCCAATCAAGAGCACGAGGCATACAAACAAACAGAAAACATGGCCAGTAAGTAGAAAATCCACCAACCAAGCTGACCCAGAAATGACACAGACGGCAGCATACACGGACATGAAACCATAAAAACTGTGCTCCAGAAGCTCAAAAAGTTAAGAGATGAAAACTGTAATGTCTAGGTTAAAAAATATACCAGAAAAGATTAATAGACTCAACTAGACATTAGACTAGAAAAGCTGATCAAACCTGAAGACAAAGGAACAGAAACTATCTAAAGTGAAAAGTGAAACAAACAAAAAAAAGAAATTTAAAAAATGAATAGAACACCAGTGGGCTGTGGGTCAAATTCAAGCAGATTGTATACATGTAATTATACTCCTCAAGAAAGGAGGCAGGAGGAGACAGAAAAATATTTGAAGAAATATTGGCCAAAATTTGTCTAAATTTGATGAAAACTATATATATATATAGTTTTCTATATATATATATAGATATAGTTTTCTATATATATATAGATCCACAGAGCCAGGAATCTCAACAAAACTCAAGCAAAAGAAAGATGAACAAAAGCACATTAAGATATTTTACAGGCTGAGCATCCCTACCCTAAAAGCCATCCAAAATGCTCCAAAATTCAAAACTTTTTGCATACTGATATTATGCTCAAAAAGTTGCACAGGAGCTGGCACTGGGGACTCATATCTGTAATCCCAGCTACTTGGGAAGCTGAGATAGGAGGCTCACAGTTCACGGCCAGCCAGGCAAATAGTTCATGAGACCCCCAACTCCAAAATAACCAGAGCAAAAACCACACACAAAAGTTGCCAAGTGGTGGGATGCCTCCCTAGCAAATGTGATGCCCTGAGTTCAAACCCCAGCACCAAAAAAGTTTCAGATTTTTGGATCTTTTTTTTTTTTGGTGGGGGGGGTGGTACTGGGGTTTGAACTCAGAGCCTCATACTTGCTATGAAAGAGCTCCACCACTTGAGCTACACACCCTCCATTCCTTTTTGATTTATTTTTGGAATACGGCATCCCAGGGTCAGCCTGAACCTTGATCCTCCTATTTATGCTTCCCACAGAGCTGGGATGACAGGTACACACCACCACACCCATCTATTGGCTGAGATGGGGTCTTGCTAAGGTTTTGCCTGGGCTGGTCTCAAATCTTGATCCGCCTGATCTCCACTTCCCAAGTGGCTGGGATTAAAGTCATGAGCCACCACGCTCGGCCTACAGTAGGAATTCAATGGAAATATTTTGAAATCAAAAAGGCTCCAAAATCTGAAACACTTTCAGTCCAAGCATTTTGGAAAAAGGATACACACCTGTACAATTAAATTGCCCAAAATCAGTAATTAAGAGAAAATCTTACAAGTATCGTCATATTCAAATGAACAAATAAAAGGATGACTGAAGGCCGAGCTCTCATCAGAAGCAATGTGAGCAAGAGGACAGTAGAGCTGGACAAGGAGAGCTGTCAACCTACAAGTTAGGTCCAGCAAAAAAAAAAACCTTCAAAGGTGAAGGTTAAAAAAAAGCTTCCTTCAAATATGTAAGTTATCACCAACAAACCCACACTGCGAGAAATGTTACAAGGATCCTTCAGAGGTAAGGGTACAGCATGTGCTTTAGGGTTCCATTCCCAGTTCCAAATTTTAAAAAAGAAAGAAAAACAAACAAACAAGAAAGAAAGATTTGGGACATTTTGCCTTTGGGGCTGGTACTATAACTCAGTGGTAGAGCACATGCCTAGCAGGAGCAAGGGCCTGGGTTCCAGGCCCAGCCCCACCAAAAAAGAAAAACAAAAGACTCCTTCAGGAAGAAGGCAAAGGGGGTCAGACTGAACACGGATCTGCACAAAGAATCAAATCACAGAAAGTGGTATCTACATGAATAAATACGCAAGATTCTTTTTTTTTGGAAGATTTCATTCAGAAGATTTGCCAGGGGTAGGCTGAGGTTTTGTTTTGGTTTGGAGGTTTGTTTGGTTTTTTGCATTTTTTTTTTTCAGTGCCAAGGATCAAACCTAGGACCACATGATAGGCAAATGTTCTAGCACTGAGTTATACTCCCAGCCAAGAGTCTTTCCAATTATGTAAAGCCTGCAAAAATGACTGACTAAACAAAAATGACACTGCAGTGTGGGGTTTATAGCACGTGTAAAAGTGATACATAATAACTGCATAATGGCTAGGAAGGGAAGCAGCACACCATGCTAAGCTCTGCTATGTGCAAAGTAGTAAGTGCAGGGTATAGATCCTTTACCTGAAATGCTTAGGACCAGAAGAGTCCAGATTTCAGATCTGCTTCAGATTTAGGAATATTTTCAATCGCACAGAGATACTACACACAAAATGTCTACATTTCATCCTCATCTTTCTACACACAGTTTGAAGGTAATCTCATACAGCAGTATTTGAGTATACCTGCGTGCACTTCCTCACATGAGGTTAGAGCTCACAAGGTTTCAGATTTTGGATTAAAGGTCTTCACACTAGAGATGCTCACCCTTTACCATTCAAAGATATGTACTATGACATGATAAAGAGATACAGTGTACCTAGTACTCGGAAGGCAGGAGGACTGTGGGTTCCAGGCCAGCCTGGCCTATACTGCATCCCAGCCTGAGCTACATAGTGAGACCCTGTCTCAAAAAACCAGAGGTAGAGGGTAAAACCTCAAGCAAACACTAAATCACAGTATTACAGCAAGAATCACCAACAAATGTATAAAACAGAATCCTAATCAAAAAAACTTCCATCTAGAAGAAGGCAGAAAAAAAGGAAGTTAAGAAAAAGATGAGCTGAGCATGACAGTGAACATCTCTAATTCCAGCTCAGGAGGACTGAGAGTTCAAAGTCAACCTGGGCTACATATTGAGACCCTAACTCAAACACACAGACTGAGAGAGAGAGAGAGAGAGATGTAGAAAACAGCAGAGTAACAGATTTCAGTTCATCATAAAATAAGCTTAATGTAAATAGTCTACTGAAAATAAAAGGCAAGAAGACACTGTACTCTACGTTTCTCCGTTACCAAAACTGTCCTAAAAGGTTCTTCATAAATACGAGCGAGGGGAGATCAGGAAGGAAGGAGGTGGGCTCCTCACTCATTGTGAATTCACTTATCATTCAACTATTGCCTCCTTAATAAGGTTTGACCCCAGAAATCCAGACATAACACCTGTACACAGAGCTCTGTCTCGCATCACAGAAACTCTTTCCTGAACTCAAGAGTCCCCTTAGTAAACTGATAAGTAAAGCAGCTGTGACAATAGCCCTCTCCATTTGCACTCTGGAGCCACACCGACAGTAACCTCCCAACACACCAAGCACAGAGGCCAGGGGCTGGTGCAGGCAACCAAGTTGCAAGCCACCCTCACAAACAAGGCAGAACCTTGGACAGCTACACCTGCTGCACCAACACAGAGCTGTGCTACCCAGAGGGACTTCACCTCTCCTGGTCCCAGCAATCCCCACCGTAAGGGTCTTTACCTTGTTTAGTGAGGGCCTCTCGGAGAGCCGGCGTTATCATCGCTCTTCCTTCACCATCTTCATTCTTCCATGTGCCCCTAAACAGACTTGTCTCCTCTTCCAAGTGCTCCTCTTCTCTCTGTGTTAAAGTTGAAAGAATGAAATCCAGAATTGGCAGTGTGCAAGGAAGTAAAACACAGTACTCAGGACCTCCAGCATCAATGAAACGTTCACTACAAACCAGAACCCGAGCCCTGTCCCCCACAAAGTGGTCACCCTGCCAGTTAGGCCATGACCTGAAGGCATGCCAGAGCATTTATAGGAACAGATGTACCCACAAAACCAAAATCAAAAAGTTCACTTGTTTTCAACAATCTAAGCACAGACAGTTGCCTAACTTTGGCAAGTTACATACTTTCTTTCAATTTCAATTTCCTCACCTGAAAAAGAGGGAAAAAATGTGTTCAATAAATTATAGCTTTTAAGCCAAACACTCAATAAATTATAGCTACAAGCCCAGCACTCAGGAGACCAAAGCAGAAGGATCACAAGTTTGAGGCAAGCCTGGGATACACAGTGAGACCCTATCTCAAGAAAAGGATAGCTCCCACTAGTAATAACTCCTGCAAACCCCCAAGGCAGGTGAAAACAGTGCTCTGTGTTGCCCAAAGAGCCATATCCTAAGAGACCAGGTTAACCTATCTCCACCAACTACCACCATAATTGCCCCTCTCATGAGATGCTATGGGGGAAATTTCTCTTCAAAGACAGAGAGAGGTAGAACTATGGAGGGGCACTGGTGGCTCAAGTCTGTTAATCCCAGCTACTCAGGAGGCAGAAATCAGGAGGATCGCAGTTCGAAACCAGCCTTGGACAAATAGTTCTCAAGACCCTATCTCGAAAAAACCATCACAAGAAAAGGCTAAGATGGGCACCAGTGGCTCATGCCTATAATCCCAGCGACTCAGGAGGCAGAGACCAGGAGGACTGCAGTTCAAAGCCAGCCCAGGCAATCAGTTCATAAGACCTTATCTCGAAAACACCCACCACAAAAAGGGGCTGGTGGAGTGGCTCAAAGTTTAGGCCCTGAGTTCAAGCCCCAGTACCACAAAAAGAAAGGAAAGGAAAGGAAAAGGGAGGGAGGGGAGGGGAGGAGAGGAGAGGAGAAGTGAAGAGAGGGGAGGGGAGGGGATGGGAGGAAGGAAGAAAGGAAGGAAGGAAAAGGCTGACAGAGTGGTTCGAGTAGTAGAGCGCCTGCCTAGCAAGTGATGGCCCTGACTTCAAACCCCAGTATTGTCAGAAAAAATACATAAAATAATAATTGAAGATCTGCTTCCACTTCAGTGAAAGCCCACCTCCAAGCAAAAGCTCCTCTATCCCAGGCGCTGTACCAGGTGAACAACTATTTCTAGGGTTTTCCCTTGCCCAACACCTAATAAAGTCCTGCGAGCATGCAAAGAAAACAGAACAGACAAAAATGGCCAAGCACAGTAGAATACAACTATAATGCTAGCATTCAGGAGGTTGCAAGGAGGATTTCAAGTTCAAGACCATTATGGTCTGCACAGTGAGACTGACTAGGTATAAAGGTGTATGCCTGTAATCCCAGGTATTCGGAAGTCCCCAGTCCAAAAAGTAACTACAGCAATAAAGGCTGTGGGCGTGGCTCAGTGGTAGAGCCTGTTTAGTCAATGTGAGTCCATGAGTTCAAAGCACAGTGCCGCCCAAAGAAAAAAGAATCTTAAAACAGCACACGCACAGAAAGGCAAGCAAGGGGCTAATTTCTTGACTTCTCTGTTACTGCAATGGAGTCAGTAAAAAGGCACACTGGAGTCAAATGCACAAGACAAGGAAAGGTAACCCACACTGGGTTCCATCTGTGTGCAAAGTCAGCATTCCTAGTTACTAAACCCAGTTACAATGCTAAGCCGTGAGCTACAGCTTCTGCTACCATTGTGCTTAACTACACATTTCCAGATGGAACTGAAAAAACTCAGAAACAAACATCAGTCCCTTGTTCTGACTGATTACAAAAGTAGTGAGTTTAATATTAGGTACTTTACAGAAATAAAAAGGCTCCAGTTATTATTTGAAAATATTTTAAGGACTGGGGGTAGAGGGTAGTTCAGTGGTAAAGTACCCGTTTAGTGTGCACAAGGCCAACACCGCAATACCAAAACAAAACAAGTACTTTAAAAGAGAAGGAGAATCCTTTGGCCTTTTTTATTATTTTTTTAATCTATTTGAATCCTAAAAACAAAGGCATGAGTTTGAAAAGGAAGTCTTAGGTGGAGCAAAATGCACTCACCTCACCCCATAACACCAGAATTGTCTGTGCAGTAATTCCACAGCAGGTTACTATGATTCCACTGTGAATGTGGCAAAACTGGACAGAAGGTGGAAGTGTTTATGCTTGAGAGCCTCAGTTTCCACAAACATCACCTGCTTTTTTACTTACCCCAAAGGCCATGTAAATCCAAAACTGGACCAAGCCCAACACACTGGCCTCTTGCACTGTGCCCACAGCGCACACCCTCTTATGGTTTTAATGAAAAACCTCTGGCTCTATGCTACACTTGATCTTAGCCAAAAAGCCGAGAAGCAATCCTCTGGCTCTATGAAATAAGTACACTCTGAAGGAAGACATAAGAATACAGCCCATGCCCTTCCTAGAGAAACTGCCTGCTACAAAACATGGGGGCCATGAGTCCAGCCTTGAGCACAGAGCCTGAGATCAAAGGTCTGGGGTACTGAGGACAAACACGCTGGGCATTCCTCCCCTCTCATGCAGATCAGTCCTATCTTCCCGAGAGGCAGCAACTTCAGTTCTGAAAGAAACACAATGGCGTACCACACTCCCCAAACAAGTTTAATAAGCCATTCAAATTCTAACTCTAACCCCCTAGGTGTGGACATTGTGCACTCTGTCTAAAATACAACAGTACAATAATCACGTAAGACCCGTATGTTAGTGTATTTATGTCTAGCTGTTAAACATCCTAAGCAGAAGCATGTGAAAATCCCCAGAGTTGGTCTGCCATGATTCCTTTCTCTTTGTCCACGGAATTTCATGAGTAGCCCAAGCTCTCCATCCTCAATGCCACTGACACAGGTATGGTGGCCACATCTGCAATCCCAGCACTGTGGAGACTGAGGTGGGGGATGGTGAATTCAAGTCATTTCTTAAAGATTTTAACATAAAATAGCTGTCAACCAGTGCTCTGCAACAAATGAGCTTTCCTGGCATGGCGCACCTTTTTTCAGGGAGAGGGTCTCTGTTTGTTTTACTGACCCTTCTTTACCACTGGTGTCTCCCTCCCAACGACTCATACAGAAAGCTGTAGATACCACATCCCAGGTTCTCTGGAACTCATTTGCTATCTAGTCAACCCACATGCCCAAGGAGGCCATTCACCAACTGTTGTCTAAATAAATCAAGACCCCCCAACACTACCAAACAGCTATTTCTAACCCCAGAAAAACAGACTCCACTTTTTTCAGTAACCAATTCTGGGCCTGGCAACATTCAATGTTAAAAACCTCTTGCCAGGCTCAGTGGCACTTGCCACTTGCACTTGTCTGTGATTCCAGCTACTCTGGGACTGAGGTAGGAGGATCTCAAGGTCAAAGCCAGCCTAGGCTATAAAACCAGGCCTTCTCTATTTAATTTTTTAATTTTAATTTTTTTTTGGAGAGGTAGTGCTGGGTTTTGAACTCAGGCTTCAAACTTGCTAGGTGGGTACTCTACTGCTTGAGCCATACTTCCAGCCCCTTATCTATTTAAAAAAAAATAATAAAACTCTTCTTTATGTGATTTTTAGTTCAAGTTTTACCTAAAATGCCTTCCACTATGCAATTTAGCCCCATATCCTCAGGTTCCTATTTGCTTAGTAAATGAATCCCCGCTACTGGCTTATCGCAGCTCAGCTTTAAAATGGTCACTTTGGCGACTGGAGGAGCGGCTCATATGATAAGGTGCATGCCTAGCAAGCACAAGGCCCTACATTCAAACCCCAGTACCACCAAAAAACAAAACAGAACAAAAGGCCAATTTTCATCATGACTGGGTGCTTCTGTGTATACGAAGTTTAAGGGCAGTTCCTGAACTGGTACAGAATAGCTTGGCCTGCCGTATCAAGAGCTGTACTCTGACACGGTGGTTCTACTTCACACAACCCGACTTAAGGAAGTAATTTCAGAACTTAGTTAAATGCTCTTGACTACACAGGCCATGGTGAGTGCAGATAGCTTTGAGGCAGAGCTCGGTAGAAGGTATGTCACCTTTCAAGGCCCTAAAAATACCTATGAACCAACTTTGTATTATTCCACTGTGGTACCAATGTGACTGTATGATCAGAACTAGACATACTGATCCTTTTGTAAATTAAGTAGCGGGTGAACTGAAATGTTTCTCTGGTGAGTAACACTCGTGATGTTACTGTCTGTCTGCCCGAGCACAGCACACTGTGGGGAGTGTTTAGTGACGTTTACGTGTGCAGAAAGAAAAGCAGTCACTTTACACTCACAAATCACAACCCGCAGACCCAGAATCATCAGGCTCTTCCTGATACTCTGCTGTCAGAACTCAACAGCTTCCCTTCTGGGAGCGCCTTGTCCCCTGTGGGCACATCAGAGAGTGAGCAGAGAGATGGAGTGTACACTTGAACCATCACTTAGCAGCCACCTGACTAAGGACACCTTGCTCAGCCTAAGGCTCAGCTGTCTACCTGTGAAACAATAAAATACACATGATAACTGAAGAGAACACCCACAGAGTGGGAGAAAATATTTGCCAACTATACATCAGACAAAGGACTGATAACCAGAATATATAGGGAACTTAAAAAACTAAATTCTCCCAAAACTAATGAACCAATAAAAAAATGGGCAAGTGAACTAAACAGAACTTTCTCAAAAGAAGAAATTCAAATGGCCAGAAAACACATGAAAAAATGCTCACCATCTCTAGCAATAAAGGAAATGCAAATTAAAACCACACTAAGATTCCACCTCACCCCCTGTTAGAATAGCCATCATCAGCAACACCACCAACAACAGGTGTTGGCGAGGATGCAGGGAAAAAGGAACCCTCTTACACTGTTGGTGGGAATGAAGACTAGTACAACCACTCTGGAAAAA